ATATGCACAGTTATCTTGAGGCTATACCCCCAAATTAGACTGACTGAGTCATTAAGTTAAGCTCATCTTCAAGATCACTAAGTAATGAATTCTGCTTCCTAAAATTTTTATGCTAGCTTGCATTCCTTTCAACAGTTTATGAGAATTCTCTTCGCTATGAAAATTTAATTGTTGCAAATTTAATATATCTTATTCTGGTTTTATTTTGCTTCTTCTAGGTACAGATACTCTTGAAGTTACCAAAGTTTGAGTTTCTACCCTCAGTGGAAATGCTTCACATAACAGTCATTGCTACGTATTGATTAAATGACGTTAACTACCTAGATGTAGAAATGACTCCTTGCCATACCTTTTACTAATTTACTCTTGTACCACATTGAAGGTGCTGGGTCAATGTGTGAACATGTACTAAACACCTGACATTGAAGATTACATATATTTAACAATATACTAAGAAAAAAATTAGGAAGAAAAATCAATTGGATTAAAATCAGCAAAAATAGGGCAGCACCTGTGGCTCAAAGGAGTAGGGTGCCAGCCCCATATGCCAGAGGTGGCGGGTTCAAACCCAGCTCTGGCCAAAAACTGCAGAAAAAAAAATCAGCAACAATAGAAGCAAAGCAATAGTATAAGAAGAGATGACTAAATCGATAGATAGATAGATAGTATGTGTATGAAATCAAGAAGCATACTACAACTCCAATTTTTCTTCAAATCCTACCAAAAGTAGTGGTTAACTAAGAGATAAATTTGAAATGATCTTCCATTTAATTTTACAAATACAGCAGAATAAATGTAAGAGATGAATTTCCCATAGCATAGATAAGTCTTACTGTTATTTGAATCATATAACCATTGGGAAAAAATATCTTGTTACTTAGACTTGGAATATTGGCATCAGCAATTATTTTATAACATGGTACCATGAAGGCATCAGTGTGAATCTGACAGAGGAAATGTTATTCAACAAGCACATTTAATTTGACCATAAATCTTACATGTAATGCAAAATTGGAAGAAACTTGATAGAGCTCTCCTCATTTGGACAGCAGTGCTAACATTTTTCACGATATCAATGATAATTATGAAGCCAAAGGAAATTATTTCAAGCTATCGACTAAAATACTTACTGCCAATAATGTTAGACAAAAGATCAAATTGTCTTTATAATCTGTGGAAAATATTTCAAAATCAGTGTCATATGAAGAAGCTATCAAAAAGCATAAAACATATATGACAAATAAATGCAGTCAAAACATATATGACATATAAAAGAAGTAGTATACAATTTTGGTCTCAGGCTATTATTTCATACACACACACACATTATTTTTCTGGATTTTGAGATAACTTATGACATGTATAGCTCTATAAAATATGTAATTAAATATTTTCTCTTTCTTCTTTTGAGAAAATTTTTATTAATATTTATGTCTTTTGTCTAATTTTATATTCACACATTTATTTTTTAAAAAGAATCTATAAAATGAAATTCAGTCTTCAAAAAATCTAACCATCTGCCCTTCTATATATTGATGGGACTCTTGTTTATTGGCCATTTTGTTTCCTGCTTCTGAAGTGCTGTCCAATTCTTTTGCCCATTTTCTCTACTGACATAGCCCTCATCAGCTGCTTTGCTCTTACTGATTTGTTTATGTTCTTATATATTGTCGAGCCTTTCATCTCATATGTATATGTAGTTACGTAAA